TCAATCTAATGGCTCATAAGAGAAACAGGTAGAGTGCAGATGTAACTCTAAAAAAAAAATACTGTTACAATATCATTTTGTAAAAAAAGATAGCAAAAATAATGTTAAATCATTTTTCATTGCATTGCCCACAGAAATCAGTCATGAGGAAATAATTTTAAGGTCAATCCAGATCTCAAATTGTGTATACTGTGAGAAAACCTGCAGCACAAAACCATTTTAAGAGTTATGACTGTGTCTACTTCAACAACACATAGGCCAAAACTGGAACAAAGCCAGGCATGGTGGTGCAGACCTATAATCCTTTGGAGTCTGAGGCAGGAAAATCACAAATGTGAGTTCATCCTGGGCTACATAAGGAGATTGTATCTCCAAAAAAAAAAGGGTGGGGGGGACAGGAACACTACAGAGTAGCACAGATGACATGTAAATTCATGAACCTATTGCAAAAGACCTAGAAAAGAGGATTTTTGAATGGACCATAGAGAAATAATAAGAGCTTAAAGTGATGGATATGCTAATTACCTCAGGTAGATTGATCAATATACACATGAATCAAAATATCACATTTTAATTCTTAAATACGTACAAATGTTGTGTAATAAAAAATAAAGTGAAATGAAAAAGTTATAAATTCCTACAGCTGTGTTCCCTAGAAAGAAATTTCTGCTCCTTTTCTTTTTAAGAAATTTATAACCCCTTTTTAGCAGTATCTAAATATATATACAATCCTCTGCTGAAGAGACTAGGAAAACAAGCATGTTCTTTATGCCCAAATGACATAAACTCTCTAAGTAGAAGCAGCTTAAATAGAAAGTTGGCTTTGCCATCCAAATATTGCCAGAAAGAATGACTAAAAATATCTACTATTCCGAATTTAAAGTTACAATTTTTATAACTGCTCTATAAATAGTGGTATCATCTCAGCCACCTAGAAGTATATTTTTAAGGAGTTTGTATTAGGGAAAATAAGGAAATAAAAGGTTGAGAGCTGAGATTTTTTTTTTCCTAAAATGTTATTAAAATGTTTCTTTAGGCAAATTTGGTACCTGGTTACAACTACCATGAAATTCTTCAAGCTTCAAGTATTCAACTACATTGTACTGAGATGAATTGGGTGGGGGGAGGTTCATGCTTGGCTGAGCAGATTCCTACAGTTCCCTTGGCTCAGCAACCTGGGCTCCACCTTCCAACAAGAGGCCTATCTCCATCTTCAAGCAAAAATCTGTGTTATTCAGTAAGGAACTGCTCCTTGGGACCTAGAAAAGAGCAGTCTCAAGTTCAATGACACCAAGCTTGCAGTTGATCTCAGGTAGAGAGAAGCAGTATTTAGAAAACAAGGCTTGAAAGAATGGACTCCAGTCATGCCTATAAATAATCTAAATCAACTAGTCCTACCTTTGATTAAAACCAGATCAATGGAAAGCAGGACTTTCTTTTTTAAAAAATATTTTATTATTTTTATTTTATGTGTATGAGTGTATTGCCTGCATGTATGTGAGTGCACCTGTGTCGTGCAATGCCATGGAGGTCAGAAGAGGGCTTCAGATTCCCCTGGAACTGGAGCTAAGGACGGTTCATAGCCTCCATGTGGATGTTGGGAACTGAACCTGGGTCCTCTGCAAGAGCAGTCAGTGCTCTTAACCACTGAGCCATCTCTCCAGCTCCATAGCAGGACTTTCTAATGCATCTTCCCAGACCAACCCATGTGGAAAGACAGCATAAAAACAGTCTTATAAGCTCTTATAAAACACTGCACATCCATTGCCCTATTCATGGGACATCCTAGAATCAGAAATTCCCATCTCAGCTTCATGTTGGAAAAAAAAAATTGCACATCTGAAAAATAGTGCAGTGTTAAAAACTTAAGCACAATGCTGTGCCTCCCTTTCTGACCAGAGGGATAGAAAGCTTCGACCCATTACTGAGCCAGTAATGAACAAGTAAATTGGCTACAAGAATATGAAATATTCTTAACCTTATTCTTACTTTTTTAAATGTCTCTGCCTGTTTTCTTTCTTCTTTAGCTTAGACTTCTAACCTACATTCTTTTATTTAATACATTCATACAGTCATTTAAAGGCTTTCCTAGAAATAAGATGGAGTATTAATATTCTTTTGTTTTAAAAATATTATTATAAATTGCAAAGGGAAAGACTGATAGAAATCTAAACTTTTATATTAAAACCATAATAAACAAAACTAAAAGAAATCACAAAACAGGAGAAATTCTTGATACCAATAATAATCAAAGGATTAATGTTCTTAGAACATGGATAAAGCATGTGTGTATATATCAATAAAAGCACATTTGGTAGATGAAATAAATACAGTAAACAGATCACAGAATCCCATTGTTGAAATGAACGAATTGTAAGGAACCTAAAAGCAACGTGACTTGCTCTCCTAACGCAAACTCCTGGGACAATAATGGATATTTCTGTTTAACCCCCTGTCATGGCAAAGGCCAGTTGCCTAGCTCAAGTATGTTAAGGGATGCTGCTTACTGTTGTACTATATCTACAGAGGAAAAGACAATTCCCTTCTCAACAGTAAATACAACCTGACCTACCATTCCTTGGGTCACATTTCCTGGTAAGCAGAGTTCCTGTGTTACAGGTCACTGCCCAAACAGGATGCAGATTATTGCTCATCAAAACCTGTCTGTACCAGTTTCAAGAGATAGGTAATAAGTATCTGCTTTCCCTCTGCTGTTCAGCTCAGAATTGATTGGATCAGTCAGACAAGATTCCCTGGCAGATCCTACTGCCCACCTATCTAAACTTCCTCCTCTAATACAACTTTTAACTGGAATCTGTTTAGGGTCAGGTCCTGGGAATTGCTTTGATCAGTAAAAAGGATATTTTACTTTGCCTGTTTGTCCTGTGTAATCTCAGGTAGAAACGAAAATTAAGACTTGGATTCTCCCTGCAAAATGTGAATATATTGATTGAGATGTCTCACAAAGACAAGAGGTGCCTCAAGGAAGCACAGCACCATAGGGGAAGGAAGGGGCTCTTGGTCCCTGCATCATGAATGCAGAAAAAGAGGAGGTGGGTATTGGTTATCAGGAAAAACTTATCAGGTAAAGTGTCAGCACAGCAGCCTCTTAGGTATGGACAATTAGAATTATTCCAGCTATTTTTCCTTCCTGTCTTCATCATGTCTCTGTCTGCATGGACCTTTACATTGCCCAGAGTAGCTAAGTTGTGTGTGGTTAAAACAATGCTACTCAAAATGTAGATTGACAGACTCAGTAGGCCCTGGGAGCTTGCTAGAAATGGGAATCTAGAGTACACACCTGTACCTACTGATTCAGAACTTCCAGGATGGTTCTGGGGAGCCTGTGCTTTAATGAGCTCTCCAGGTAATTCTCATGCTTGCTAGCATGTGAGCTGTGCAATGAGCGCACTAGTGTCTTAAGCACTTCAGTTTTCTAAGTACAACGCCAAACTGGCCACAAAGCACAAAAGTGAACATGACACAGAGCCTCAGGGCAGTGGGAGCAGGACCCTGCCCCCCATTCTGCTACTTTCCATCAGAGGGGCAACTTCTTTTCTTGATTGCTCCAAAATATGTGTTAAACCCAAAGAACTAAAACCCAAAAGGAATGGTAGAAGGGGCTAGAGGGATAGCTCAGTCATAGAACACTTGCCTAGCATGTGCAAAGTCTTAGGTTGGATCTCTGAGGAAAAGAGGAAGAGGGGGAAGGGAGGAAGAAAAGAGGGGAGGGGAGAGGGGAGAGGAGAGACTGTGTCTTTTCCCACTAGCAGGGAGCTGTATAGTTAACCCAGTTGGCCTCCATGTGGCTTTCACAAAAGTTCACAAAGGAAGAGTTTTCAAGGAGCCTGACCATCATCAGACCACTACTCTGAATCAGTGTTGGGGACCCCTGCTGTGTAAGGTAGCAGCCTCTCCATGTCCGGATAGCCCACGGGGCTCGGAGTTCATATGCAGAGACTCCTTTTATCAGCAGGGCGCCTTCCTACTCTCTTCCTGACTCATCTTTGAAGTAGCCACCACAGATACCTGGCCTCTGGCATAGGAACTGCCAGGTTTTCCTGTGTGATAATCAGACAATGTCTGGCAGCCTGGCAGAAGCCCACCACCACATGTAAATAGGGCATCCTAAAAGCACCTATC